GTATATAATAACAAAAAATATGTAAACACATAAAATGCTATCCTGCTACGTGCTGAATATAGGGTGAATTAAGAAACTAAATGGGCCTAACGAGGTATGTAACCTCTTAATATAATAAAGTAAATTTAACAAATTTAAACTTATTTGAAATAATTCAAAAATGATTATTATTTGAAATAATTTTCTTCGTAACAATGCCCTTTTAATGAGCGAGCTATTCTTCAATTTATTGGCATAAAAATTACAAATATTTTGCTACACAGGCATTGTACTGTATAAAATATAAACCCTAAAATGTATCACTAAAAAGCAGTGATTATCTTAACCTCCTTGCAGAATAATCCAAAACGCTATGCTGAAGACCGGTCTTCCACGTATTAATCAACCTGAACTGTCGGTCGGACGAGATGTTTCCCACATATTTGAAGAAATTCATTATTTTATAGTATTTCATATTTATATTGATTGCATTAAAGGTGATATTTCTACTCTGTTGGCAAAGTATAAATTAGTGACATTGACTTTTTGTACAGATAGTCTGTAATTGCTTTCCACAGAAAAAGCTTCTGACAGTATTTTGCAGAAATATTTGAAAATACTATTTTCCTACTGAATCAGATCGAACAGTGCATAGGTTAAGGTAGTAAACGAATCTTGTTTTCAACAAATCTCTGATATTTTATTTGCCCAACAATTTGCATGTTCTTCGATCGGAAAAAATACTTAGGCTTAAAATTTCAATCTTAAAAGGTCTGCAATGAGTTACAATATAATTTATTCCTCACCTAAACTGAAGTGTCTCGTCGCGCTCTCGGGTCCCGCAGAGGAGGGTAGGCTGTTCATTACTGTGGCGTCGTAGGTAGGTGCGGACCAGGAGGTCCCAGTCCTGGAATTCACATACGATGGGTATACAGTATGGTAAGATTCTCCAAATAATCCATGATCATGGCTCCAAGCAACGTTAGCTGCAGGATCCCTGTTGTTTTTTGCATTGCCGTTGTTTGTGACGTTAATTAAATTAGTATGTCGTTGACTGTACATGTATGTTGCATCCTTAGGTCCAGAGGTGACAGAACAAGCCGGAAAGGCGAAGCGAGGTGAGTGTTGCGGACTTTTCTCACGAGGCGGTGCGATGGTGTTGGTACCCGCCTGGATCCAGGCATAATGGCTGGACACCGAGTTGCTTTGCTGAGGGTCTGATGCCGTTTGTAAGTACGGCAACACCGAAAACATTAGGGGTGCGTCAGTGTTTGGCACGCAAACGGCTGGTGTGACCGCGGGGTTGTGCAGGAAAGTTGCCTCATAAGACGAGCATCCATAGTTGGTTGTCATCGCTGTGTCTTGATACTTATCCTCGCCTGAGAGATAAACATTGGCACTGACACTAATTATTGTTATATAGTTAATAGATTAATTAATTGATATTAATTGTAGATTTTTCCAGAAATCTTTAACCCTCAATGGTTCCTTGGGGTGCGTTCTGCACCCCCTGCCCATTTCTATGGCTACTACCATGTTGTTATTAAAATTACAGCAGTTATCCTCTAGGACATTGTAAGTGCACCAGTTTTACATACGGTCATGCAGAAAATGATAGAAAAAGTGTTGACGTCAATTATCGCTGGCATACTTTCTTCGGGGGTGCAAAATGCGCCCTAAAAAAAACTTAATTTATGACAGATGTCTGTGGAGATTCTCAGTTATCCAGGTCATGGTTATCCTAAAAAAGGATTCATCAACCACAGGGTTCATCAACCTGCTATGCCA